ACTGCTTTCGCGACGTGGAGATGAAGGCCGAGGCGGGAGATAGTCGGTTCGGCCCCATTCACCAGTAACAGCGGATTATCAGTGAATCCCAGTTGTCTCCGATGAAAGTTTATAAAACTATCCGTGGAAAATGATCACTACAGAGGGGGGTGTTGGTGGTGATCCTCAGCTCTCCATCAAGGTTGGCTCTTCACAAAATTAATCCACTTCTTCTTGATGTGATCGTGTTTAGGAAATTTAAATAAAGACACCGATCTGTTTTGTACATGATCGCATCCAGGTAGTGTGTCGAAGGCATAGCCAGCTAACAAACTGCAGGCTGTAGTAACGGTAGTAATAGTGACTCGCGATTGAGCGGCGAACTGATGTGAATGTGCTCTATTGTTAGGGGAGGGGCCAGCCTCAGTGGCCTCAGTGCGTCATCAAACAGGGGCGTGTCCACGAGCTCAGGGGCTCCAGTGCGTCAACGAGCCCCGTTTTAGCCCCGCCCAAAAAATCCGGAAAATAGCAATGGTGAAAAACTGTTTAACGGTCTTACTCCACAATTCAGTACTTCACAGTTCACAGTCTTTGTAATATGTTTTAGCAATACATTTCTAACATTTATAATCTGTTTAGAATTTTTTTTAGAATTGCCTTTACAGGGACTTTAAGCCCCTATTCCTGCAATAGCTGTGAATAACACTTGTAACTATTGAGACAAGTGAGGTTGCGTTGGTTAATTACTTGTTCGTGTTTCTTGTTCAATGCAACAATAAACACAGCTTGAGGACTGATGTTCGATTGGCAAACAAATAACTCTTATGGTCATTAAAAAAAGTTTCACAAGCTCATGAGCGTGAGAACAGTTTGACAGACAGAACGTGAGAATCCCCACACTTGCGTTCTTTGCACTGGACCACTAACATATTTCCTGTATTTGGCCAAAGTGTTTAAGTGGGCATGAAGACAGCACGTGTGTGTAGAACTTTTGATTGGCCAATGGAACACACTACATCAAAATACAGTAGTAATGTAAAGTAACATTTTTACATTTATTTACACATTTTGATTACATGACTGTTTGTGTTTCTAATCATTTGTCGCATGATTCTGTGCGTTTCTAATCATTGTTATCACCTGTGCTTATAAAGAGTTACATCTCACTCCACAAGGGTACATTGTGCCTTATGAAGACCTGATTGGTCGAAACGTTGCAATTTGGGTTTTTGATATGCATACTTTTTTTGTATTTTTGATTCATATATTTCAGGCTGTTGTACTCTTGTGACTCCATCATGCCAATGAAGAACTTGTCTCTTTAAATAAGACATTTGAGTTTAGTGAAGCAGATTATTCTGGGATCCTTCTAAAAGACAATTTTTGACAACAATGAGGTTTTGTAGATGATATATGTTGAATCGGTTGGCCTTTTTCTAGCATTATGGCTTTCCCATTCACATCGCTTTGATCAATATACATTTATCCACCTAATACCTTTTATAAATTGTCTATCTAGAAAACAAAACTTAACTTTTCTTATGAACTTATGTGATATTCTTTTGACAAAATACATCATGAAATATAAACTGCACCTGTGCAACAGGTGCATTAGAGCTACAATTAGCATCAAGCTACAGTACATAGGACAATTTATACGATTATACTATTAATACTGTGCTTTTACTCAAAACTCACTGTAAACTACCAACGAGTGTTTGCAATAATTTCCAATTGCGATCTAATGTGGGGTTTGGTCATATGCTGTTGAAATATGTTATTTATAGCCCTTTATAAGAATCGCTGCACCCGCTTAGCATTTCTCATGTAATCCTTTATTGTAATGAAAATAAGCCAAATCGCATGAAAATCACATACTATCATTTACCATCTTAATCGTGTGCTTATAACTTCATGTTTCACGTGTAGAAACATTTCTCTGGGTTTCTTGTATACGGAACTGACCGTGGAAGTGTTAATAGAAAATTAATAGAAATGATTCTGTCTATGAAAACAATGAAGTAAATATATAAATATTTCCAGATATGAGCGGACTAAAAGCCCTAATGAAGGCTGTTCAGTGAAGCTATGTGAACACAAATAAACCGGAGCAGACAGCAGACTGAATATGTTGTTATTCTATTCAAAATATAAAAATTACAGATTGATTATTTTGGACTCCTGGCATAAATTAAGAAATTAATATCACTGCAAACGAGTTTTATCCTAAACAGTGGTCAAATATCGAAGCTGGAGTCTTAAATCTTTCTAATGATACCCAGTTTGTCTAGATCAAGTAAGAGTGTGATGTTTTAACATGCAGTGAAGGTTGAACAACAATAATCTGGGGGCCCTGGCAATCTTTGCATTTAAAGGTGACACCTTCCCACAAAATATTGGAAATTATGCACATGTGAAAATAAATAATGCATAAATGGTGCCTGCTACATTCCCAAATGCAAGCTGAACTCACAGCACATGCGGAGATGGAGTTCACTGAGACGTGGAAAACACTGGATCATCGCTTTTTAAACACAGCACAAACAGGCTATATACTCACTAAATTTAATCGCAGTCTTTTGCGATTTGATAAGGGCACAAAGTCATATCGCGCTTTTGATTTTAGTTCGTTTGACAGATACTTTGCCAAAGCAATGGCGCAAAACAACGTTAGAAACTTTTGTCTTATGAGAAGTTTAAAAGTATTTTTGATTCATTATGAAACTGGTGGCACAGATTAGACTATGGTGGGCCGCAAGAGTCTAGGCAATTAATAGGAAACACTGCATCAGATGTTTGAAAGAGTGACATGGAAAGTCAGACACTCAACAGCAATCTACCAAGATTCAGGTTTCAACCCAACCACTGCTCTTTCAGCTCTAATTGTGACCATATCACCTCTGTCCAGTGTCTCACATTTCCTGTTTTGACCCCTCCTCTTCCTCTGTGCTTTGTGTTCTAGGTGTTGAATCAGACGGAGGATCACAGACAGCGTGTTTTACAGGCGGCTGCCAAGACTGTCCGAGTGTGGTTCATCAAGGTCCGGAAGATGAAAGCCATTTATCACACTTTGAACCTCTGCAACATCGATGTCACTCAGAAGTGTCTGATCGCTGAGATCTGGTGCCCTGTGTCAGATCTAGACTCCATTCAGTTTGCGCTCCGTCGGGGCACGGTGAGGACACACACGTACACATTGTTTGATGTTTTTATTAGGGGTGTAACGTACACAAAACTGGCGGTTTGGTTTTGAAGTCACGGTTCGGTACGGGTTCAGTACAGCAAGGGGGAGTAAACTAAACATAAAATTGCTTTTTTTAAATTTATTAAGCAGTGGTTTACTGAAAAAATTGTGTCTCTGTCTTTAAATTAATTCAATTTTAATTCAAAGTTTCTTAAGGATAAAAAAAAAGAATCTCTGTTTATGCTGTAAACTATATAGGTAGCCCTTACTTGTACATTACTATAATATTGAAGGTTAACAACAGAGCCCAAACTTTTTGCCTAAATTCAGTTCCTATTTCTTTTTAGATATAATAATCAACACTCTCTAAGGGTACGTTTTCACGACAACGATATGCTTAAAACGGAGAAGTTTTTCCTTTAAGTTTTCTCTGTACAGATGACACCATTGTTAAAATGATCCCCATTCACATGGATCCGCGAAAACGTCTAAAAACACTATAGACTGAACACGTAATACGCATGTGCATGACGTGATCATCTTCAGAGATTCACATTTTTGTTGTTTACACAGAGACCGTATTCAAAAACGTCCACTTTTGAAACCTGTTTGCGTTTTCAGGCATTGCGTTGTCGTGTAAATGATCGGCCAAAGCGCATAAAAAGTTTTACGTTTTTAGTTGAAAACGGTGTTGTGTAAACTGCCCCTAAATAATCAAGACATTATTAACAGGTTAAGTAAAATATAATGAATATATAGGCTAATATAGTGCATATATTTTAGCGAAAGAGTTCATTTCTTTTGTGAACTAACCAGCTGTGGACATTGAATGACTTGCCTGAGGTAAATGTAATGCTACGTGACGCCGTTGAAACACTGATTGAGCGATTACACGAGATATAAGTTTCAGTAAATTGTACTGTATCTTTCAACATACCTTCAGATGTTCATTTGTTTATTCTGTAACTAGTATTAACTTGTAACTAGCTGCTGCTTGAACTGAGGAACCTATAAGGTGGTCATCTGTCACGCCACATTAAAGAGTGTTTTCTTGTTTTGTTTGCATTTCGTGACAAAATGGACAGAATTTGAAAGATGACATTTTCGAAAAGTTACTAAATGCTGAGCTTATTGCGATAATTGGTGGTTAATGGTGGTCAGGCTACAATGCTGTATTCGTTGAGGACACATAACCTTGTAATGTGACGCGTACCAAAAATTTGTGTGACGAATACATGTACTGTTACACCCCTAATTACTATTTAATCAAATGTCAAGGAAGAAAAATTTGTTTTGTAGAGGTAAAGTGAGGTCAACCTCAACAATGGGCCAAGGCTGGGCCGGTGCAGCAGAGGGCGTGGGGCGTTCGGTACGCCATGGGAATTTTTCGGTTCGGTTTGAATATTGTTACACACCTATTTTTTATAAACATCCTGAAATCTTGAGCCAGAGGAGGTTGGCATCTTATTCTTCAGGCTGTTACCCAGTATAACTGAATCCACCAAATCAAATTGCAATATAACCTTACCTCGATATAATTCATTACATTTAAATTTCTCTGTAAGAGAACATCACTGATACAGGGGCCTGATAAAATAATTGAATTCCCTTTACAGTAGGAAAACATTCAGTGTCATTTTATTTTGATATCTGATCTCAAATCTGCATCGTAGATGTTACAATTGACCTGTGTCATTGTTGTTTGAATTCTATACTATAATTCTATACTATACTTTAAGAGCTCTGTAAGTAATATGAAAGACGTATTTAGACTAATTTGAGGAATAATATACAGTAGGCTTCTTACTGTTGTAGTTTATGGATATTTTAAAGACCCCATGATGTGGCTTAATGGGTTATTGTTGACATCCCGTTAAAATAGAACATTGTTGCGGGACATATTGAAGCGATAGTCATTTTTATATATTTTTTTACAGTAGCCAGCTTTCTGAGCCGCCCTATAACAGGAAGAAAACACTTAGAACATTATTTAAAACATTCAGTATATAGATTTTACTTATATCAGCACAGTAATCTGTTTATTTCTTTTCTTTAAGCATATTATCGTATCAGCAAACACCAATATCGATTGACCTCTATGTATGTATTGATATATTAGTATAAACTAATTTCAATATATATCTATATATTGAATAAAACATGTTGTGAGTATTTTAAACTTGCAGTTACCCTGTTTTCCAGTTGAATGTGTTCCCCAGCCTATTATTAAGTAACAGAATCTGAGATGCAAGATGTATTTTGAGATTGTATGGGTTTGTTCTGTACATATGAATTTAGTCCATTTAACATTGGTATGTTAGATCACATATATTATCACAACACATGTGTTGTCTCTAAGGAGTAGCCTATTTGTTCTTGTCATCACATTCAATGACTCACACTTTGTAAACATGACTTTAGCTTGTGTTATCCCAGGACACAGACACATGCACACAGGAGACTGAGTATTAGGACGGAATGCTCAGATGCTTTTACATTGAGTCATGAGACCCCTCAGATCAAAGTTTGATTTTTCCTGTGGTCAAGAGCAGCTGAAACCTGATCCTCCTCCCATAGTGCCACAAATGGACTCTGTCAATCACTTCTGCTCTGCCCTGTTGAAAAAAATTGATAAAACGATGGGTGAGATTGGCAATGGTCATCCACTCCCTCAGTTTTTAGTGTGTTGCCAATGCAAACGAAAGAGAGAATGCTTGTGTGTGTGTGTGTGTGTGTGTGTTTTATAGTAGTAAATAGTAAATTATAAATTGTTTTTATAAAAAAATATAATATAAATAACATCAGGTTTTTATTAAATTAATACATACATACATCTTTTTCACTAAAAAGATCAAATATATTTAAAAGACTCTTTATATTGTCCTTTGAATGCATACTAGTAATACAGTGCATTAATTCAGAATGATTGTATCAGCACGTTGGAACAAAAATCTGAACTTCCACTAAACCTACATGAACCAAACTTGAATACACAGCATGTTCTATTCTTTTTATGACAGATATTATAGAGTGATTTGTTTATATAGTATTTATTTGCTGACTTATTATACAGTTTGTGTAAACAGACAAAAATGCACTAGAACATGACCTACAATCAGTGCCGTCGCAGGTGGGGTGCGAGGCCCTGTGTGAACTTAAATTGCGAGGCCCCTCCCAGGCTCTGAACGTTAGAATAATTGGCTGCGCAGCCTACTTGTTAGCCTTGTCTGCTTACATGAATTATAAATAAACATAAAAAACATAGGCCTATTTGCAGTATATTAAATCGTTTTTGACCTAATTATTTGGTACTGAAATTACACACTCTGTCGGCTCTGACGGCGTTGCATCACGTGCACCTGCGCAATAAAGCCTATGATTTCCGAAAATAGTACTATGTCAACTAGTGATATCAGCACAAGAACTGTTGAGGAATATGCAACTGATTTAGACAATTGTTTTTGTCATAATGTTATAATAACTGACAGACACTATCATTTCAGCCGCTCTGTGCATCCTTGCACAGAGCGAGGCTGAAGCTCAGCTTCGCGGCTGAGACACGAATATATTTAACATGATTATTACTAATTGGCATATTTCAATGCCAATTCTTATATATTCATTCATATAGCCTACTCAAAACAGACGGGGCAACCTAACGCAGACAAGTTAGCTCACCGTTTTTAGGTGATATGCCATGTTAGTAGTCGAGCTGTGATATGCAAATTGTTGCTTGCAAACTTTGCATTCGACTTTTTTCCCGTTATCTATTTTCGTAAAATGCTGCCACACTGTCGATGTCTTTGACATGGTAAAGGAGGACTGACAGTAAATTAAACGCTCGCAATTAAATTAATATTCAGCAAACCTCCATACCAATGCCTTCGTTCTAGTACTTTCTTCAATCTGTCTCCAGTGGGTTGGGCTAATCCAAAAAAGTGAAAACAACGGGGGTGTTCTGAAGACAGGCTGTTACCTGTGAAACAGGGGTTCTCTGAAAACACCCCCATTAGCAATTCGTGCTTTCCACCTGATGAAATTAACACGTCAAAAAATCAAAAAATCCAGAACGTATCGACCAATAAATCGACTAATCGACTGGGAGATTACAGCCCTATAAAAAAAAACCTTAATTTGTTGGGGGGAGAAAAAAATAAAAACAGCAGGATTGCGAGGCCCCCTAATGGCGGGAGGCCCTGTGCGGTTGCACAGTTCGCACAGCCCTTGCGACGGCTCTGCCTACAATGAATTGGTTGGGCTCAGGATGATATAGTATGTGCGCTGAAGATCCCTTGAGCGATAGATTCTAGATTCTCATAGTTACTCACAGTAGAAGGTGTGTGCGAGTTAAGGATGCCTCTGTGAGGTCCGGATTCTCACGCCTTACAGCAAGACAGTGAGGGCAGGGTGGGTGTAATACCTGTAATCCCTGCAGTGCGAGGTTGTAGAGTAAGGGTCAGAGGTCATTGGAATGTTAACCTCGTAATAGTCACATCGTAAGAGGATTAACTGCTCACACAAATTCACCTTCTGTTCTTCTGTGTTTGCCTCTCTGTCTTTATAGGGTTAAAACAGGTTATGCATCGTTTATATAGTGGCAGCAACCTACAGATGGACCAATTTGTAAATCCGTGCAAACCATTGTTTAGTAACAAAAAAGTAGCTTCCCTCTGAACCTAAACTAGAAGTGTAATAGTGTTAAGTCCACGTAGGCAGTGTGTTGGAATGTGAGGGACTGTGCTTGCGTGCTAGTTCAAAGCCTGTCCTTACACATGGCATTCTTCCTCATGCCTTATTTAACTAGCAGCTATTAATATCAGCTGTCTTACACATTGCCTCCACATGCACTTACATGCTGTAGACTTCACCTACTACTCAAGTTCAGTTTAGGATATACAGAATCTATTTAAAATTTAAGCAAACGAGTGACACTGTTTTCACAAATATATTAAAGCTTACATAAGTGCAATGTAGACTTGCAAAGACAAGTGAAACGTTTATGAATTTGGGCATTCATACAAATGCACCACTATTTACTGGGAAGCAAACTGGAGCATTTTATTTTTATGCATATCTGTTTGTGTTCAATTCCACTATTACTTGCAGGAGAAAAGTGGATCCACTGTTCCCTCTATCCTGAACAGAATGCAGACCAAGCAGACCCCACCCACCTACAACAAAACCAACAAGTTCACCTCTGGCTTTCAGAACATTGTCGATGCCTACGGCATCAGCAACTACCGGGAGATCAACCCAGGTAACCCTGAACTTTAACCTTTAGTCTCGGAGCAAGTCCCAAAGTCCTTTGCAGTGATTAAAATGGGCACACATATTATAATCAACATATTGTTTGCATCCATTTTTGTGCTCAGCTCCATACACCATCATCACCTTCCCCTTCCTGTTTGCGGTCATGTTTGGCGATCTGGGTCACGGTGTACTCATGACCTGTGCTGCACTTTATCTGGTGCTGCGAGAGAGCCGATTAATTTCCCAGAAAAACGACAATGAGGTATCCATCCACCCATCCATTTATGCACCTAGGGCTGGGCGATATGGCCCAAAAAAATTATCACGATATTTTTTTTATATCAGTCGATATCGTTAATTATCATGATAAATGTCAAATCTTTATTTCTTTCAAGTTTAAAGGCAGATTTTTGCTCCTAAGTGAAAGTTGTATAAACCAGAGCGTTAATTGTGGTTTTAACTCTTTATTGTCAGAACATATCATGACAAACACTTGCCAAACAGGTGAACATTTCACAAATCTGAGGTAGAACATTCAAATATTTGTAATTTTTTCTTAACAAAATTAATATCTGAATAGAAAAATATTTCTTCAGCACAGTTTGCAGTGCAGCCTGCAATATTCAAATTACATGTTTTGTCTCGAAATGCATATTTGACAGTGAGTTGACAGTAAATCTGCATCCTAACTCAAGCTAATACTACTCTGTTAAATTTATGTTCATTAATAATGAATCATGTTTAATTTGGTAAAATGTAATATTCTGACTGTTTGAGTTTTATTAAAATTAACCATTGGTCATCCATTATCATGCATTTAGATCATGATAACCACAGATAAAACCAGGCAAAGCCTAACCTTTAGCACCTCACTATCATGGCAAAATGTAACTTTATGGTTTCTATGGTATTTGTATGAAAAACAGTAGCCTAACAGTTAAATACATTATTAAATACTATAATTATATTCCATTAGTCATTTAATACATTGTCTACATTAATAATATTATACAATTCAATATGTATATCCCACATTTCATGGTGCAGTTAATATTACAAGGCTAACCTTACAGTAAATCCATGGTAGGCTAAATGGATTCAGTATCAATTCAGATTCTGACTGTATCGTTGCGCGCAGTGTTTCTCCTGTTTGTCAGCGGTGTTTCATCTTCCTTTAGACTGGTTTAAACTGGACATTTGTGTTCTTCGTAGAACTCAAGCGCTTCTCACTGGATCTCGTGACCGAGGCCGCTCTAGTGAGCTCGCGCGCGCTGCCGTTTGGACTTTGAGCCAAGCGGATAAACAGTCTGTGAGGCGCGCGCGGTTCAAATGAGTTTCGTTCCGCTTTTGGCGCATAAACATTATCGAACATTTATCGACCTCTTGATATCGTTTTATCGAGAAAAATTATATCGCGATAATTATCGTTATCGTTTTATCGCCCAGCCCTATATGCACCCATCTCATTATTGATGTTTGTCCTTATTCATATCAAATATTGTTCATGTCATATAGCCTTTATGTATATATAGGTCCAGAATATAGAAAAAATCGATCATAATTGTGTTAAACTAGTAATTTTGTTAATTTAGCATGAAAATCAAATCTTTGACTTGAAAAATAAAACGCATCTCTCATTGTGGGTTAATTCACTGACAAAGCTAAATGTGACAATTATTATTAGTGAGATGATTGTTTTAAGTTTGTCAGGTGATTTTGTTTAAGTTCAAGTTAAAAGTTGTTATAAGATAATTTTATTTTGTTTGTGATGAATAAAAAAAATGTAGTTTAAATTGACGGTTTAGGCCTAAATTGTGGCTTTTAAATGGTTATATTTATTCAATTATAATTTATTTATAAGTATAATTTAATTGTTAATTTTATATGTATTATTAAATAATAATTCAGGTATTTGTATTTATTTTGGACAAACTAACCTTGATAGTACTTGGTAAAAAGATGTAATTTTACAAACATTATTTAAAATATAGTTTCTTTGTCTAAAATACATATATGTGACAATTTGGACCATCACAGTCTCTCTCTCTCTCTCTCTCTCTCTCTCTCTCTCTCTCTCTCTCTCTCTCTCTCTCTCTCTCTCTCTCTCTCTCTCTCTCGTCTCTCTCTCTCTCTCTCTCTCTCTCTCTCTCTCTCTCTCTCTCTCTCTCTCTCTCTCTCTCTCTCTCTCTCTCTCTCTCTCTCTCTCTCTCTCTCTCTCTCTCTCTCTCTCTCTCTCTCTCTCTCTCTAGATGTTTAACATGGTATTTGCGGGCCGTTACATTATTCTCCTGATGGGACTATTTTCAGTGTACACTGGGATTATCTACAACGACTGTTTCTCCAAATCCCTCAATGTCTTTGGCTCAGGCTGGAGCGTCAAACCCATGTTTGGAGAGAAAGGAGACAACTGGACGTAAGTTGTTCGTTCCAACCCTTTGATTTTACAGAAATGTTTGTAACTCCTAATCAGCCTCTTGTTTGAGTTTGAATAGATCCGTTCTATCGTTCTATCGTTCAGGTCAGATCTTCATGCATAGCTATTAATTTGATTATTTTTAACATGGAATTTTCCATCATCTCATGCAGGTTTACAACACTGAAGGAAAACCGGATATTACAGTTGAACCCTTCTGTGCCAAATGTGTTTAATGGACCCTATCCAATTGGCATTGATCCAGTAAGCACCTAGTTTCTAAACGGTGTCTGTGGCAAAGATAATGTAAATTCAGTCCTTTAAAAGGTTTTTTTACTTTCTCCTCTCACAGATCTGGAACATTGCCACCAACAAACTGACGTTTCTGAACTCCTTCAAGATGAAGATGTCAATAATTCTGGGAGTTATCCACATGACGTTTGGAGTTATTCTCAGTCTTTTCAATCACCTGTATGCACTTGTCCATTATTACTCTCAATAGATCTGTATTCATATTTTATGCTAATTGAGGTCTGTTTGTCTATGTTTGAAGGTACTTCAACAAACCTCTGAACATCTTTCTGGGTTTTATTCCTGAGATCGTCTTCATGATCAGTCTGTTTGGCTACCTGATGCTGCTCATTTTTTACAAGTGGTTGGCATATGATGCCAAGACCTCAAAAGATGCCCCCAGTCTTCTAATAGCCTTTATCAACATGTGCCTCTTCAGCTACAACGATCCCACTAACAAACCGCTATACACGGGACAGGTACACATTACCGACATACCGATTTAATCAGTATATGTGGCAGGTGAGATGCCATTACGTTTAAAACTGATGTTTTGTCTCTCTCTTTCTCTGTCTCTGTAGATGGTAATTCAGTGTCTGCTAGTTGTTATAGCTCTCGCCTGTGTGCCATGTATGCTTATAATAAAAACCCTAGTAATGCGCAGGCAATACCTTTGGAGAAGACACCTGGTAAGAACCTCGCACACCACATTCAAGATTCTTACATACCCAGTTTATTTTTAGATTTTGTGTTTTTATCTTGTAATTTACATATCCAGAGTGTTTGTGGGATGTGGAGTGTTTAGATTGTAAACATGAAATATCATTGCTACATCAGTAGGCAAGTTCTTAAACCTAATGTCCACACAGATGTCTTATAAGTTTCATAAGTGTCATTTTCTAGCCTGGATGCCAGCCTGAACCCCGCCCACAACATTTTTTGGTCGGGAAGTTCGGTCTGGACTCGAACCATTGAGGAGTAATTATGATCAGTTCAGAAATCGTCAGGCCAATCAAATTGCCAGGGAGGGCTTTATACGATGATGGACAGATGATCTACAGTTACGTAATCATAACGTTATCAAAGAGCGCTTGGGTTGAACTGGTTTCCCTCAAAGATGACAACAGCTGGAGAATAGGCTTTATGCACAGCTTCACTACTTCCTGAACTTCAGCCAGCCCTTTGTTTCCTGTCTGTCATTATTGGACAAACTGATTAATCCAGGTGTGCCTGATTATTGTTACTGAGGCCAGGCACACCTGGATTAATCAGTTTGTCCAATAATGACAAACAGGAAACAAAGGGCTGGCTGAAGTTCAGGAAGTAGTGAAGCTGTGCATAAAGCCAATTGAGATGGATTCCGCTATCACGTCTGTTGTAAAAGAAATCGACAGCGCATTAATTTTGAAAGACGAACAGAGAACTGCAATCAAGGCATTTGTCGATCGGAAATATGCGTTTGCCGTCCTTCCTACAGGATTCGGCAAAAGATTAATTTATCAGCTGGCTCCTGTGGTCGCTAAGAAGATGGGACGCAATGAAAACCCTGTGGTCGTTGTGGTTTCTCCTTTGGTCGCACTCATGGAGGACCAAGTAAAAGAAGCAACACTCATTATTTTACTACTACTTCCAGCATGCGTGCTGTTGAGTTCTGTTGACAACTATGTGTAGCTCAACATACGTCACTTACTGCGTTGCTCTGATTGGTTGTAGGTCTATCCAATTGAGTGCAGAGTTGTTGTTTTTTCCTGGTTCGGTTAAGACACGCCTCATAATCAAAGCCCTATGGGGCAGACTCACATTCTGACTAGAATATGAGTATGATGAAGTCAGGCTAGTGATTTCCAGGCCTAAAATGCAGTTTATTCCTGTTGTCAAAGCTGAATTTTTAGCATCATTAGAGTGTCACACGATCATTCAGAAATCATTCTAATATGCTGATTTGCTGCTCAAGAAACATTTCTTATTATCAATATTGAAAATAGTGCTGCTTGATATATTTGTGGAAACTGATGCATTTTTGATAACTATTTGATGCATAGAAAGTTCAGTGTCTTTACACTCAGTTTGATCAAATTAATTTGTCCTAGCTCATTAAAAGTATTATTTTTCTTTTTTAGATTTTTTTTCTTTTTTTTTATTATGCTCAGTTCTAAAGTGTTTCTTCAGCTAAAAAGTTTTTTTGAGTGCAATCTCTACAAAATCTATCATAAATGTCTGAATAAATGTAATGAGAAAATCATGTAAATTCATTGGTCAGCTAGCGTGGGAACCCTGATAACCGATATGCTAGATTATTATATAATGGCTCAGCTATGACCTAGTGTGACTTTTGCTGCAGGGAACACAAAACTTTGGGGGAATCCGAGTCGGTAACGGCCCCACAGACGATGAAGCTGAGATCATCCAACATGACCAGCTTTCCCAAAACTTAGACGAAGAACCTGAGGTAAGGGAAGATTCTCTTTTTTCGATTGTTTGTCTATGTATCTCTCTCTCTCTCAACTAGGCTATAGAATAACATAGAAATAATACTTTTTGTCATACTTATTCAATAGATTACCCATGCTTGTGTCCTTTTCATTTTACCAAGATGCTTTGATGTAGCATTAGTTTGTGAAGTCTAAAAATAGTCTTTCTATAGCCAGAGAATGGCTCCTGTTCTGCCGAGCATATTTATTGGGATAATTGTTTGGGTCGGGTTTTTCTGTCTGACACTTTGTGTGATGACATCTTTTGATTCTGAGAATAGCTTAACATTTTATTGTAACGTAATTAAATTGATCTTCTTCATAATAGTCTATGTGCAACTTGTTACCACCCACAACTGTGACAAGCTACACCAGGGTACCAAAAACTGCTGCAGTTGGCAGTGGGCATTCCTTTCTGTGACTCACTGGATCTGTGATCTGCATACCAGTGCTGGTCTAAACTGGGTCTTCCACTTTTAAAAGCACTATCTCTCCCCCCAACCACTGTATCCCAGGGAAACCAGTCTCAAAACACTAAACAAACACGCACCCGACTAATTGAGCTTCTCTTCTCTGAGAATAAAATGGAGGAAGATAGTAAACTATTTATACAATTACCTGCTTTATATTAAGGTTTGAGATGCAGTCATTTCAGTACATTAGTGCCAATAATCTTCCTCTTTCCGCTCCAAACAAGCCTGTCAGTAAAGTGCAGTCAGCCATAAAGTCAATTTACTGGAGACTGAAGTCAGATATCCAGGATTGTTTATCCCTCTCGGTTTGGTGTGTACAGTGACCCTGCAAAAGTATTTGGTTACTGAAGCCGCGCTTAAAAATGTATGAATTTAGTGGTATCTGCAAACAAATGATGCTAGACCTTTTCTTGTAAACAGCTTAAATTTCCCAGCTATTTTGCAATTACTTACAGTATCAATATGATTTTAGGGGATATGTATGAATTCATCAAAAATGAATTCCTCCCTCAAATACACAAAGATGTCCTAGTAGAGTGTAGTTCAACAAATTATGTTCCAATTTTGACAAACAGAAAATGTCCAGACAATTGTCTTTTTTATAAAATCAACTCTAATTTATAATTTCAAACCTAAGAAGTCTTTTTTCCTGAAATGTGTACTTTTAAGTGTGCTGTCTTTCTTTAAAATAAATGCCAATTGGCTTGATTTATTGTATTTAAAGCATTCATGCATTTGTATTAGTGTGGCTTGAGTGTGTGAATACTTTTTGGGGCCACTGTATTTTGCTGTGACGGAAAATAAATGCTTCGGTCATTAGATCTTTGCATTTTCTGTGAACTTAACAGTTTTTCCCCCACTGTCTCTTCATCAGATTCTAACTCTGTCATTAACCCTATTTTAACCCTTTGTGTCTGTCTGTGCATGTCTCTGATTATATTTCAAGCAGTCAGAGGAAGAAGTGGTAAGAGCAGACAGCCTTCTCGACTTTTTACATTTGTTTGTGTGTGTGTGTGTGTGTGTCTGTGTCTGTGTGTTTGTGTGTATGTGCGCCATCACCCGTATAATCCTCTTGCTCTACGGCTTGTGTGTATCCCTGCAGGTTTCAGTGTTGGTAGTCTCCTGCTTTTGGTGTTCGGTTTCTTTTCCAGCACAACTAGATAGATTCTTTTCTAGACGTCTATTTTCCTTAGTTTTAGCCGCCATCATTACATGGGAACGATCTGGTGAGCCGTGCTGGAGCGTGATTCTGACTTAAATCACACCAAATTATGCTGATGATCTGAAAGGCCCTGCGCTGTGATTCTGTTCTTATGCCCGTGAGATCCAGGGCTGTGATTGAGCTGGGAGTGGGATTAGATTCATGCGTTTTCATCTGTCTGAATAGCTCTTATTGCTCTCTTTCTCTTTCTCTCTCTCTTTAGTTTAATTTTGCAGATGAAGCAGTGCATCAGGCCATTCACACAATAGAATACTGCTTAGGCTGCATCTCAAACACTGCCTCTTATCTACGACTTTGGGCGTTGAGTCTGGCCCATGCACGTAAGTAATGCACACACCAAGCATGCACATTTATTGTATTGAATACAAACTGAAACCTGGTCATATCTGGGCCTGAGAAATAAATGGAAATTTCTGCAGTGAATATAAGATTTTTTCTTTTTGCTCGGCTCTACTTTATAAACTTAGGGTCGTAGGCAAAGACTTTGGTAATGTAAGCCCCTATAAAAGAAGTAAACTCCTTCCTACAATTATGAATTCATTCATAAAATCCCATTCCAACAAGTAATGAATGGGAAAGTCATGAATGGGAACACTCTACAAATTTACTTGCATGCTTTTCCTCTCAATATGCAATGTGTAGAAATAAAGTAATTGTTTACAATGTTATATGTTTCTTTTTTCTTACAGAGCTCTCTGAGGTCTTGTGGTCAATGGTGATGCACATGGGCCTCGCTTCTAGGAATTTTGGTGGATTCTTTGCCCTGTCAATCATCTTTGCCTTCTTTGCTACCCTGACAGTGTTTATTCTGTTGATCATGGAAGGCCTGTCCGCCTTCCTTCATGCTCTTAGATTGCACTGGTAAGTACACACACACACACACACACACACTATGCTTGCCTTTATAAATTACAGTTAAACCGTTTTAAGAGCAGATGCCTCTTTGTTGCCCCCTATCAATAGAGCATGCACACAGCAGAAAAAATACCATTGTATTGATTATTTTGAGTGCTTAGTCTTATTCTGTACACACAGTTTAATTATTTGCATGTCCGAGAACTGCATTCTACAACCAAATTCACTCCCTAAAAAGGAGTGAATCCATGTTTTAAAACCGAACTGAATAAGTAATTGTAGCTCAATTGAAATGTGGTGCTAGAAAATAAGCACATTTTTTCATTTAATTTCATCCAGAACTGTAATTCACTGACTTTGTTTCCCACTTTATTTCTGTAGGGTGGAGTTTCAGAATAAATTCTACACTGGACAAGGCTTCAAGTTCATGCCTTTCACTTTTGACAGCATTCTGGAGGGCAAGTTTGAAGACTAAACCACACCCACATTCTCTCCTTTCAACAACAGGAGCCAATCAGATTATGTGTGAGATTTTATGATTTGTGTGAACACTGTGACTTTGTAAGGCTCTATATTTCTCAGGTGTTCTACATCGGGACATGGAATAAATTTCAAGGAAGTAAGCTAGAAGTATTTAGTAGAAGCTGAGCTGAAAATAATCTGAGCTAGAACTGGATAACATATTCGCAATGATTTCATTACTCTTAAATACTTGATTATGTAATAATACAAACTCAAGTGCTGTTACCATACAGCACACAGGAGTATGAACAGCTTGTCTTTTTTTGTCGTAAAAGCCTCATAAATGTGTACACTCTTTAATCAAGGCACAATATCATTAAAGTTTCCCTACCATTATAGTACAGGTTCTGATATGTGATAAATTTCTGATTTTTTCCCCCCAGTCAGTTAAATTATTAGTTTTTTTTTTTTTAATGTATCTTTTATCCTTTGTTAAACACATTTCTAAAACAGTTCTCATACAAAGGGACCTCATTTCAAATGCAGAAAAGCAAGCTTCATTGTTTGCCATTTTACCATCTTCTGTCATGCAGAGAGGAGGATTTCCTCATAAAGCATATCAGAATAATAGTTGCAAATAATCCCCCAGAATAGCCAGATTTATTGCAGATCTTTTCATTCCTTTGTAAACACATGTAAAGAGTAGTTATATTTTAGTTGGTATTGAACTGTGTTGCTGTTTTTTTGTTGGTTTTTTTTGGTGTATTTTGCTGTTGTCTTAGGACAATTAAAGGCAAAAACACATCTAAGCTATGTTAACCGTATGAATCTGTTCGCTGCAGTGCCCAGTTCCGGGTTTTTTTATTGTTGTTTATAATTGAGTTTACAACATACACATGCAATGGCTCTTGAAGAAAACGTGTTTGCTTGCTAGATGTCAGAGGCAGTCCATTTAGTCTTGGAGAAATTAACTATACCAAGTAAAAGCAGCCAGTGAAGCTGTGATTGTCTGTTTTTTGTCAATAAAGAAGGACTGGATATGAACTTGAGATTTTCTTTTTCTTTTTTGTATGCGTGTTAGAAAAGATCTGTTGATAAATATCTAAATGTATAATAAAATTAATATAATAATCATTAGTGATAATATATAGCATGATCAGCTGCAGTTTCATGCCAGCCAAGCTGATATTTGGAACAACAGCACTGATACTGATACAGCACTGATTGTGAAATTGCTTAATTACATTTCAGACAAATTTTGACCAGTTTTGTTTTGTCTGTTTTTTTTCTTGGCAAACAAAAATACTTTAACAAAAGCTACAGTACCAAGCTTTATGTGTAAGTGGAGCAACAGCAGTTTCTCCTCTCCCTTCTTAAAGCATTCTGTAATCACTCCTACTTGCTAGAATGGAAAATCCGCAAACTTCGAACATTAAAAAAAAAAACAGTAAAAAAAAAGACAGCTCCTCTTCTAATCCACACTGCTTGCATACTCTGGTCTGTAACTTTGCAAATGTGAGTAGAGCGATAAAAACAATAACGCCCAGTGCTGTTGGACTAAATATCAACACTCTTGGAACACAAAGTTTAAAACATAATTGTGCTGCGATTACAAGTGTGTCCTATCTACCTCATTTATTGTAATTCCTATGGTGATTCCAATAACGCGTATCTTTGATCGTAATTTTCAGGATCAGGTTTACGCTTTATTGACTCATAATTCTATTTGAGCTGTTTGTCTCATACCCTTGCATCAATGAGTGAGTAAGTGAGTGGGTGGGTATGTGTATGTGTGTCCCTTGCCAGGCTCTATTGGGAGGGTGGTGGAGACTCCCCTTAAAGGGTCAGTGTGGGTGTGACCTTACAGTAAGTGATCTTGGTAGGGGGCTGGACTGAAGAGGGAAAGGGAAGACCTGACAGGCGGGATTCACAGGGAGCTGTGGTCACACTCGCACTCGCACACACCTTGGAGAAGAGAGTCTGTTTCCACCGACTGGCTGACGTCCCAGAGTAGACTTTAGGGAAAGAGGAAGGGAGGAAAAGTTTGAGGCAGTCTAGCAAACCTAGAGAGCAGTACGTAGTGGTAGTAGGTAGTACAGGTGTAAGACTTGTTAAAAGATTGGTTCAAAGTAGTCAAGAAAAGTTTTGAAGAGTTGCCGAAGGTTGTTGCCTGCAAGTTGGAGTCATTCCGCTCTGATCATTGGGTGTCTACTGTCATTCAAGTCTTTTTTTAGTGCTTTATTTTTACCCTGGGACTGCATTCTTTCACACTGGGCCAAGTGTGAGTGTGATTCTGCTTTCTGTCTGCAAGTAAGCTTGTGTGCGTATTCATCAGTGAATACTTGAAACCATGGCCGACACAGACTTCAAACTGGAGCGTGCCGTCTTCGCCGAAATCTCTGATGATGATGATGATGAGGAGGTTGCCTTGGTGCCGGCTTCTACCAAACCTGCCACGACAACCAAAGTGTTCAAATCAAAACGAGGCGATGATGATGATGATGATGATGGTGACCCAACGAAGGAGGTGGACCTGGTGTTGGGGCCGGGACTCGATGGAGGTGGCACTGGTGAGTCCGAGAAGTCTGAGGCCCAGGCTACCGGCATGTTGGTCCTGGCACTCCTAGACAAAATCATAGGTGTGGTGGACCAGATCCAGCACACTCAGACAGGTCTCGAGGCCAAGCAGGAGACCATGGAGAAGAACATGAGCAGCATCCAGACGGAGCTGGCCAAGCTGGCGAAGAGTCACGTTGGAACGGCCGGGGACAGTCAACAAGCTCCTGGACAAGGTGCGAAAGGTGAACATCAACGTGAAGAGTGTGCGAACGGACCTGGAGAAGCAAGTGGGACAGATCAAAAAACTAGAGAACAATGAACACGAGCTCCTCAAGAGGAAGAACTTCAAAGTGCTCATCTTCCAGGTGAGTAAGGAGTGCATGACTGAGTGTATGATTGCAGACATGGCATTCTATCTCCTTTCATTTGTCTTAACTAATGGGTACTAATTAGTCTTTTAGCACATACTTGCTTTCAAAGTGACTTAAAGGAACTCTTGAGCAAACTAGAATTATTTGACTTGCTCAACTGCATGGATCCCTTCTTGCAGGGTTTGAACTTAAAGCATTTTTGTTACCGTTCTCAACTCTAACCAAAGGGGTACCTTTTGATTGTGGAACTGGAACTAATTCTGATTGGTTATAAAAGCTTGAGTCCAGCTGATCTGTTGTCTTTTCCTCACTGTTCTAGTCTAGGTTTTTTAGGACAGCTGTAGAAACTGCATTTTCTGACTGATTTTGTTAGGTTTTCATTGTTTGACTGCAGTCGTTTTTGGTAGTATGGGCACATTGTTTGTCATAGTAAAAATGGCAGTGCCTAAAACCACCATATGTTCCTTAATCTATATCTTGACCTTAAATTGTTACCTTGGAGTTAGCTTTTTATAACACAATTAAACACTTCAGTTGTTTCAAGTATTTTAAGCATGTTCATGTTGTTTTGCTTGAGTGTATTTCCAATCCTCTTTCCCAGGTTTCTTTTGGAGTACTCATGGATTCCTTTGCAAGGCTTGGCCTTGAATTCCCCACTCAGTATCATAAAGTGTCAGTTCACTCCTAAGTGAACCTTCAAAGGTTCCTGTCTCACCTCACAGCAACCTCTGAAAAATACTGGGTCAGCACATTCCATGAGTATACTGCAAATACTACATGCATGTCGAAATTAGCTGAAGTTTGTAGAAATGTATGTAATACAACTTAAAAGAGCGCGCACACACCACACGGCAGAGCGATGTAGTGAGAAAGCATGTTTCAGACAGAATCCTGTGGGGTCACGTCAGTAAAATGTGCTTTTAAAAGAAGTCTCTTATGCTCACTAAGGCTGCATTTATTTGATCATACAGTAAAATCGCAATACTTATGGTATCGCAAATAAGTGGTTTCTATTTTGATGTATTTTAAAATGAAATTTATTTATGTGAAGCTGAATTTTCAGCATCATTACTCCAGTCTTCAGTGTCACATGATCCTTCAGAAATCATTGTAATATGATGATTTGATGCTCAAGAAACATTTCTTACAGCATTTATTTGACACATAATTTGTAAGATTTTAATGTTACTTTTGATTAATTTAATGCATTCTTGCTGAATAAATGTATTCATTTCTTCTTCAATTAAAGTTTTGAACAGTCTATTAGAATGAAGATGTTTATAATATTATTATAGATTATTCACAAATATGATGCTTATAATAGACTGCAATGCTTTCCAGATGATGCACTGCACTCTTTCACAGATGTCTTAGCAATGTACATGTTCTTACTGGAAAAATAGAAAAGGTAATTGTACACTGCCTGCACAAAGAGAAGGCCTATACTTTCCCCCTCTCTCTCTCTCTCTCTCTCTCTCTCTCTCTCTCTCTCTCTCTCTCTCTCTCTCTCTCTCTCTCTCTCTCTCTCTCTCTCTCTCTCTCTCTCTCTCTCTCTCTCTCTCTCTCTCTCTCTGGTGTGTGAGATAGTTGGCTGTGGCAGATAGTTGGCAGGTGTTTGAGGGTATAGAATGAAGACATTATAATTTATATTTAGGCTATATATTCTGCTTTGCTGTTTAACCGTCCATAGAATTATAATCCTGCTGTAATTTAAGATAGATTTGCTGATTTCTGCAGATTTGAGTATTATCATACACTCCAGTCTGATATCTTTCAATACAATATGGTTTACACTCACAGTATTTAACTTACTGTACTTCAATAGAATATGAAAGAGTTTTCTACATGAACATCTCTGTTTAGTTTACTCATGAGGGGAATTGACTAGGAAGAGCGAGTGTCATTTATTTGAATCGTCTTAGAAACTGATTCACCAAAGGGATTATGCAAATCAGGTAACTGCTCAATTTGCTTAATACTAATATATTATACAAGTAGGCTACATTTTTTCAAATTGTAAATAACACAAATATTATGTATGTTTTACTAGAAAATAGTTAAAATTGTACAATTGAGTCAAATTGTTTCCAAGTAAATCCTTTTTTAGCATTAAGGCTTTTATAAGTTTCATTTACATAGAGATGAGCTGTGTTTGAGCTGAAAAGAATGGCCATGCCATCATTTAAATGGCTAATCCTGGCAGTGCTACATTTAGTGTTTGGTTAATTCTAAAATGTGGAACTAGGTTATTTTAGCCATAAGTGAACAAGGTTATCAAATGTTTATGTGCTGAAATATTGGTTTCACTTTATTTTGGTGGTCTATTGATTATAAGTAACGTTGCACTACATGTCTCACTCTGAGTATAAGTATACTGGTAGGGTTAGAAGAATAAGCTTTGAGTGCCTAGAAAAGCGCTATATAAATGTAATTAATTATTATTATTATAAGTTGATGCACTTAAGAAGTTACTTCTAACAGAAAGTGTTAGGCCTACGCCTACCTGAATATTTTCTATAACAGCTCCGAAAATAGCACCAGAGACTTCATATGTAAAAATATTCTATCTTTAGTGTTTTACTGAAGTGCTAGATCAGTGTGTGGTAAAGCATTTCACTATGTGAAGAGAGTCTTGTGCAAGCAAGCTGTGTATTAAGTGTGTTCAGAGCGTGCTGGATCGCAGTTTGGACAGAGACTCCCTCTGAGACCCTCATTCTCCTTGAAACTTTCCCTTACATTCTAATTACAGTATAGTGCAGAATTCAGTAATGTCTGCAAGGATAATGACACTACCGTAGGCTACCGTCAGAGAACCTTTCAGTTGTAACGAGCTTTGTCAGAGATTCGATAAGTCATTTGCTAATATAGGCCTATACCATAAATATATTTGAAATAAAATAAATTTAATATTAATCACATTTTATAGAACTAAATACAATAAATTAGCATGATATCATGGTTGCCTAAATGGTAGGCTACTCGTTGTGATTGACAGTGCAGTGGATGGTATTAAATATTTCTCCGTTATATATTTGTGTTTAATGGCTTAAATCGTCATTGTGCGCCAGTAAATGTGTTGTTATTCAGTCAGTGATCTGACATCATAGTCAGGATGAGGTTCGGCGTGTTCCAGCACTTGACTCTACACTAGCGTTACTGCATTTAGCCTCACTAACGAGTCGTTTCCTTCCAGCGCTGCTCTGAGAGGCTGGACGGGGGAACACTGGTGATGTAACTGCTCTCTAATGGTTTTAACTGAAAGATGGAAGATTACAGGAGTCAGTGAGGTCATTTATTGGTATATTTGTAAAGTGTTCTGTTGGCTTGTGCACCTATTTCTCCAGGCAGATGTTAATGAGGATCATTATGGTCTGTTGGGGATAATCAGAGAAGATCTTCCCGATGGATCACATGCAAAGAACCAAACTCAGAAATGCACATTAGGTGAAAAACATGAGACATATTCGTTTTTATTCATATTTTTATTTCATATAGTGTTAATGTAAAATGTCAAATATTATAATTGCATGCATGCATAAGTAGATATGCATATTTGTTTACCAGTTGGCAAATGTGCCCTTGTACATACAGTGAAAATAAAATAAATACAAATAAAAATTGTATTATCCGTATAACAATTGACATTGAATTTGTAAATCAAATATAATTTAGTATGCGCTCAAATTGCATGAACTCCACGAGTTTAAAATCTGATGATCATGATTTGAAAATGATCCAAAGAGCATCTTGTGCTTTACTGTTCAATTTTTATTTATTAATTTATGTATATTTACACTTATTTCATATATTAATTTTATGCATTTTTGTTATTGGTTTTACTACAATAATATTATTATTTATTTCTAGGGTAACAAAAAATATTTTCACTGTGATCACAGACAATGGCCACTGTATGTACTACCTTTTAAAAGTTTGGGATCAGTAAGATTTAAAAACAAAAATGATAATACTTTGGATGCATTAAATTAATCAAATATGTTTATAATGTTACAAAAGGTTTCTATTTTAAGTAAATGCTGTTCTTTTGAACTTTCTATCCATCAGTGTCATGAAACAAAATATTGCAGTTTCCACAAAAATAGTAAGCAGCAAGCTGTTTTCAACATTGGTATTTTTTATTATTATTACTTAAGAGTCTATGACTTGATCATTATTGCTGCGATTATTATGTTTCTAGCATGTTAAATTATATGTTTGGCAACAGTTCTTCTAATTGATGGAGTGTATAGCTTTTCATTTCTTAATTATTCATGTAGGAAGACACATCATGGCCATATTCCAGAATGACAATGTCAAGATTCATCTAAATCCTATTTACATCCAAACAGCGATTTTTTTTTTTTTTTTTTGGCCGGGCTTATTTTAAATTGATATAATATTTCACAATATTACAGTTTTTAATGTATTTTGATCAAGTAAATGCAGCCTTGGTGAGACTTTCAAAAACATTAAAAATCTTCCTGACCCCAAACATTCGAACAGTACTGTATGAGTCTAATGAGTTTATATGTGTGTGTGTGTGTGTGTGTGTGTGTGTGTGTGTGTGTGTGGATTTAATTGCTCATGAAGTTTCAGTTTCAGTCTTCTCTGATGGAATCTCCACTCAAGTTGCAGGTTACACTACTGGCATTTATCAGATATCTAATCACAGACCCCTGAGGTCATAAATTACCCCTGTAAAACTGGACATGTGTGTGTGTGTGTGTGTGTGTGTGTGTGTGTGTGTGTGTGTGTGTGTGTGTGTGTGTGTGTGTGTATGCGCGCATGTGTGTGAGAGAGAGAGACAGAGACAGAGACAGAGACAGAGACACATTAATGGGTACACACATTAATATTTCTGGTATAAATAAGTGGACATTTTAATTGATTTATTCAGAATCGACATTGACATTATTCTCAGAAATTGTGTAAGTCAGTACCAGAATAGTAATTACAGGCACAAGTAGGACTCCATTAAGTTCTTTTTTGTTTTT